AATTAAGTCAGGTGATTTGGGGGCCAAACAGTGGAGGAGGTATGACAGTAAAGGATTGTCACATTGTAACCAACAGACCATAACTTATATATTGATGTTTTTCAAGAGCCCATAGTAATATTGAGCACAATATTGATTGTGTGCTTGCTGTGTGCTGGATTCTGTGCTGAGCGCTCCATGTGCATCATCATGGTGCTCATAATGCCCCATGAAGCAGGCACTGGTGCTGGGCCGTTTTACAACCGGAAACAGGCTGAGAGCGTTGGAGTATCTTCCCAAGGCTGTGCCAGGATGCATGCCGGGCCTGAGGTTCCAGCCACACCTCTGACTGCACCGGCCGCTCTTAACCTCACGTTGGCTCAGTGCAGTCTTCTTCCAGTTTTTTCACACACACTCACACACTCACAGGAGGCTGTACTTTCTCCAATTATGTCCAGAACGCTTTAGGATTTCTCTTTTACTAGTTATTTTCAGAGTTTGTGGCAAAATTTTTGACTGTTCTAAGTGACGGCAAATCATCATCCTTTATTATGGCAGGAGTTAACAGTTCCCATTGGCCAGATACTTTAACAGGTATAAATCATGTAATCTTCATCATAACACTGCAAGTTAAGAACTATTATCATCATGCTCAATTGACATTTGAGAAGTATGAGGCTGGACGGTCTGAGTCACCTGCCCACATTTACAGAACTCGGGCTCCAAGGTCTACAGGGGGCCACTAGGTGAGAGGGGAAGTTTGCTCTTTGGATGAGGAGCCGTGAGGGCCCTGAAACCTACCCCACCCTCACCCGGTGCGGGCCAGAGGCCACCCAGGGAAAGGGACGCCTAAGTCACTGTGGCTGCCTGCAGGGTCCTGGCCGGCCTGGGCCATTACACTCAACTGCCTCTCAGGAGGGCTCGAGTTTGAGAAACAGCCAAAGGTATTCTGGAGCTGGGTCTCGTGGTTGGGTCAGTGAACTCTCTAGATGTAGACATTTTGAATCAAAATCAAGACTGCTTTTCTCACCTGGTTTGGAGTATGCCCTGCTGGCCCTGCACCCCCTGCCCATCCCCTGCTATCTGTGCTCTGCTCCCCCAACCTTGGAGCATCTTCTCCACCTCGTTAGCCTGCTTCTCCTCACACGGACACACTCCTCTCTTCCTAGCTGCTAAATGTCGGGGCACCCAGACTTGGTCCTCCGCCTCACTCCCCTCTTAGAGCTCCCTCCACTCAGTACCTAGTGAGCACATCTCCCCAGGGCTTCTGATGCTGTCTTCACATGGACGGCTCCCAGTTCTCTACTTCTGGATCCAACCACTCCCCTGAGCTCGACAGATGTCTAATTTCCCATTTGACAGCAGCCCCCATTTGGAAGTCTATAGAAAGCTCCAAGTTAATGCCTCTGAAATAGAACTTTTGATTTCCCTCCCCACCGCCCCCAAAACACCCCTACTAACCAGCCCTTCCCTTACTCAATTCAATAACTGGTACCAGCTAAACCCTGTATCTCTGTGTCTGTAAGTTCTGCTTCACAGTTTATACTAAAGCCAATCATCTTAAATGGCCCCATTCCTCCACCCAGGCCCCAGCTGGCACCATGTCTTGTCTGGACCACTACAGAGCCACCCAACTGGTTTTCCACCTTCTTCTTTTGACCCACCCGACAGCCAGAATCATCTTTTAGAAACTAACTCAGATTACGTTACTCAGGACCCTCCAAGGACAACCCAGCACAGTCCCTCTGCATCCTCAAGGTCCTTCTGCCGTCCTGCCTCGGTGTCTTCAGCTGCCCCCTTCCTTTGCCAGTTCTTCCCCTGGTCTCACTTAATCCCTCACTCATTCAGGTCTCCGTCCAAGGATCACCTCCTCTGAGAGGCTTCCCCTGACTCAAACCCCACCTCCCGCCTCTCCACTCTCTCTCTCCTCCTCCATTTCACTCCACAGCATTTATCCTTACCTGACGCTTTATTATATTTAAATATATGTGATATAATGTCTGATTGCTTACTGCCTGTACACCTCTCCCCCTCAGATTTATAAGCCCTGAAGGCTGGGATCTTGTCTTGTTCTACTCTCAGGGCCTGGAGAAGAGCTCTGGACAAACATGGGTGCTTAATAAAACCTAAGGAATAAGTTAAACTTGAACTCCCTCCAGTGGGGCTTCTCCCTCCAGCATAGGTCCCTAGCCTGGGAGATGTCCTCAGCCTGAATCTCTCTCTGCAGCGCCCGACATTTTGATGCCTCATATTCCCCTACAGATCTCAGCTCTCTGTCATTTCATTCATTTAGGCACTCTGTCCATCAGTCACTCAGTCAGTAAGTAGTTGCTGGTGCAGGCATTGTTCTCAGGACTGGGGGTGGAGCGTGGACAGAACAGACTTCGCTACTGTCCTTGTGGAGCTCACCGTCTAATGGGGGCATGGATGTGTGTGTGCATGTGTGTAGTCAGGTGTTAGATTGCAGTAAGCGCAGTGTAGACAGCTAAAGCACGGTAGAGATTAGGAGCAGTGGTGGTTGAGATAGGGTGGTCAGGAAAGGCCTCTCTGAGGAGGTGACATTTCGGTATTGGTGTGTGACAAATGAAGCCATGCAGGATCTAGAAAGTCCTCCCCAAGCACCCTGCCCGACTAGCTCAGACACCCCTCATACAAGTTCCCCCTGACACCACAGGCCTCCCTCACAGCACTTACCACACTTCCGATTCATGTGTGTTGGTGTAATCCTCTGCTTAACATCTGTCACTCCCACCAGACTGGAATCTCCATGAGAGGCTCTGTTTCTGTCGTGTCTGCAGACACAGGGCTGGGACACAGTACATGCTCAACATTCTTTGTCAAATGACAAATAAATGGGTAAACAAACATGGGCAATCTCCCAAGAGAATGTCCGGCAGGCTCTGGCATCCTCCATGGCCTGAGTGGTCTATCGAAATGGCTGCATGAATTGATTTACAAAGTGTGTCTGCCCAACCCGTCCCCTCACCGCCACCACACACCTCCTGCCCCTTTCAAGGAGAGCTGCCCAGACCAAAGGTGTTGGTAAAGAACTGGGGGTCCCGGGCACCCTGTGTTTGATCAGGGGGTGGATGCCTGGAATAGCTGAAAGCAGATGTCATGGAGGATGCATGTGAACCACATGGGGACCACAGGCGACCTCTACCACAGAAGTCAGATCAGGGGCTTGAGAGCCTCTCTTCCGAGGCTATGGGAAGCTTGGATTGGTTTAACCTCACAACGTTTAGGGGGCCCTCCTCCAGATTTGCCCCCCACAACTGTCCTGCATCTTCTGAGGGTTCTGCTCTCCATGCTTCAACTCAGGACTGACTAATGCTCAATTCAAGATCCCCACTGATCAACTCTATACTCCGCTTTTGACTTCCCCCAGTCTATCCAATCTGGCTTCCCATGGCTGCTCAATAGAAACCCTGCCCTTCAGCCACAGGTGTCCCCTTACCACCTACCACCCTTTCCGTGACTTCCTGACGACTGTCCTTTGGCATGCTATTCCTCCTTGTGGATTGCCAACTTTCAGCAATCCTCTGCTCAAGTCTAAATCTATCTTTCAAGGCTCTACATCTGCCGTGAAGTTCTTCCCGGACACTCCAAGCTAAGTGGGCTCTCGCTCTTCACAGAACTCCTCTCGTAGGTAGACAGAGGCTCTTGAGGGAGCAGCAGGTGCTCAGCACAGCTTTATCTGTGTCTGTCCTAGCTTCCCCCTTTTAGATCGCCAGTTGTTGAAGGGCAGAAAGTGCATTGTATGTAATTCTGCTCGGCACGTTGCAGTTGCTTAATAAAGACTTGATGGATTGACTGAAGGAAGACATCACTCTTGGCCAGCAGCAGTGTTTGTGTAGAACTGCTGTCCGCTCCTCACCCTACGGGAGTGAAGCGCTAGGTTCTTCCGCTTGGAAATTTTGTACAATTGAAAGAGGAATCTGTCAGACAAGGCAGAATTTCACTGTCCCAAAATAACCAGGTAGCAGCTACAACCAAAGAAATTCGAAAATGACAACTAAGTTGGAGTTAGCCATGAATGTTGGGCTGTTATAGTCAAGTTTTAAAAAGAAATTGGCCTAGGTTGATAAGAAGGACTAGAACATCTCGTGATACTATGTGTTGTAGGCTGAAAAATGGCTTCCCAAAGAAGTCTGCATCCTCATCTCTGGCACATGTGAATGTTACCTTATATGGCAAAGGGGACTTTGCAGATTTGATTAAGTTGAGGATCTTGAGGTAGAAAGATGACTCTGGACTATCCAGGTGGGACTGATGTAATCAAAGAGATCCTTATAAGAGAGGGGCAGGAGATCAGAGTGACTAGTTGGAGATGTGATGGCAGAAGCAAAGACTGAGGTGATACAAGGAAGGAGTCACAAGCCAAGGAATGCAGGCAGCCTCCGGGAGCTGGAAAGGGAAGGAAATGGACTCTCCCTTCAAAGCCTCCAGAAGGAGCCAACGCTGCCCACACCTTGCCTTCTTCCAGTGAGACTGATTTTGTTTCTTCTGTCCTCCAGGCTCGAAGAGAATAAATTTGTGTTGTGTTAAGGCCCTAAAATTGTGGTAATTTGTCACAGCAGCAACAGGGAACTAATCCACCATGAAAAGGCCATCAGTGATGAGGGGAATGCAGCCTCCCGTCAGAACCACTCTGTGTCTAAGAGTGGGCACCAGAAAGCTCTGTCCTGGCAGCCATGTTCTCAGTTGCCTAGCAACCAGGCAAAGGCCTGGGCATACACATCCAAACTAAAAGCCCCGTGTATCTCCTCTGTGAAGGAGAAGACATTTTGTGGTGGGAGCCAGAAACCAAGAGCTAAAGAACAAGCCAGATGCCAGGGACTCACATCTTCTTTTGGATATTCTGTCTAAGGATAGGTAGATTTTCATATATCAAAACTGAGACAGTCCTGGGAAAACCAGGACCACTAACCTAGCACCCCATGGACCAGCTGACTGAATAACTGGTCAATTCAAAGAAGAAAAGAATCAATCATGTCAACTGATTTTACTGAATTGACTTTTATTGTCTCATTTTATTTATTTCAAGACCCCAGCAGATACCACCTCAGGATTCCCCAGGTAGAGCCCAGATCCTGGGGTTTATCACCAATTTCAAAGACCTAAAATCATCCAAAGACGAGCCAGCCTTATGTTTCTGAATCACAGAATTTTTCAAACAGTCTGTGCATAGTCTCATTAAAGACAAAAATATACAAAACATGCAGCAAAAGAGAAAAGCACAGCTTCATGCCCCATGTGCAATAAAGGCTAAAAAGAAATCCAGACTCCAAACATCCTCTCTGGCATGTTTATCTTTTTCTTATCTGTAAAAGCAAAATGTACACAGCGTCTTCACCACATAATGTCAGGGTCGCTCTACGATAAACTGTAGTTTGATAAGAGGCAGAGAAAAGAGACCTTCGTTCTGAGTTTATCCTCAGCAGTGGACTTTCATTTGTGGGGCTTCAAATCAAGGCCACATTTTGGGAAAAGAAAGATATGTGGTGATGTCAACTTGGTGTGCTTTAGTGAAGTTTATAAAACAAACCTCCCAAACATTTATTTTTCAGTCAAGCTTCTGGCTGTAGTGGGCTTAGTATAAGAAACAAAATGAAAGAAATCTCCCAAACATTGACATTGGCACTCAAAAAATAAGAAGGGCAAGTATTAAAACATTTCCAGCATATGTTCATTCTGAAAATGTGTTGATCTAAAATTCCTAAGAATGCCACATAATTATTAGGGTTTATTTTTTCTCACAAGACAATACTTAGAGGCAAACAGTTGGGTTCATGTAAATAAAAGGTTCTTTCTAAAAAACTGAACAATAAGAATATCATGTATCCATGGGCCTGACAGAAAGGCAGCTTTATTCAGCTCTCAGAGTGACTTTAGCCTAGAGCATCCTTGGCTTAATTTGGACTACTGGTTTGTTTTCTGCTTTTGTGTGAGGAAGATTGGCCCTGAGCTAACATCTGTTGCCAATCTTCCTCCTTTTGCTTAAGGAAAGCTTTGCTTGTTACTGACCTAACATCTGTCCCCACCTTCCTCTGTTTTGTATGTGGGATACTGCCACAGCATGGCTTGATGTGCAGTGTGTAGGTCCACACCCAGGATCTGAACCTGCAAACCCTGGGCCGCCAAAGCAGAGTGCATGAACTCAACCACTATGGCGCCAGGCTGGCCCTTGGACTGTTGGGTTTTCCTAGTATGTCTCCCTTCATGATGTTCCCTAGCACTCTTGCATTCATGGGCATGCACCCCTCAGGTGACATCTTTTTTACAAGCAAACGCCAGAATAAATACGTGAGGATGGACAAAATGCAGTGTATTCTCCAAACCAGTGGTTCTCAAACTTGAGCCTGCACGACTATAAGCAAAAATGCAAAAAGCACATGAAGATGCAAAGAATCCCTTAAAAATGTAATTCTGGTTCAGATAGCTACTGAAATACCGAAATCCTTTCTAGTTCAAAGGAACTTAATGATTCTGATTGCCCTCTTCACTGGGGCAAAGGTGAGGCATAGCCTGTCATAAACCAGTTGCATGGGGTCCATCAGGATCTTCTGGGTGAGACCCTGAGTACAAGCACCACTGCATCTCCCTCCTTCCCCAGCCAACTGCCTGTGCGGAGTGGAGCTGAGCTTTGGGTCTGGGGGAGATAGCGTGGTCCTGAGGCAGGGTCTCCACACCCTCCTTCTACCATCCCATTGCCAAGGCACTGGTTTCTTCTTCAGCCTAATCCAGTGAAAGTTTCCAGAACATTGTGAAAAAGGTTAGGGCAAAAGGGGCTGCTTCCTGAACTGAGTTCTGCACAAAAAGAAGGCAACCTCAGTATATAAGAGAGTTTCTGAGGCCTGAAGAGAGAGGAGCTGCCTCTGTAAAAACTTTGGCCCAGAAATTCATGAGTGGGTTCATTTCCTGTACCAAGCACGATACTAGCAGCCACTTGGACAGATGCACGAAGAGCTAGGAACAGGCCAGGGGAGGCGAGGGAGGGAGCCTGGACACTCCCCTCAAGGCCTGCCGTTACATTCTGCTGTTGAAGACCAGGTAGGCTGTAACTACCTGCTAGCCTGCCCTTGCAGGGAGAGCCAGGCCCCAGAAGTCTCCTAAGGCAGGTCCTCTGGGAGGCCGCAGGTGTGTTTGGCACTAACTGGGCACCAGCAGGCAGTGTGCTCACAGGCTTGACTTTGTTACGATTTCCGTTTTTAACTCTGCCAAACACCTCATGCTGGGCTGAAAGCAGACACCTTGTGAGGGCCCCTGCCTTGGCCAGGCAGAAGGACTGAGGGCATCAGGGCACCGTTCGCTCCCAGAGTCGCTCTCGAAGCAGCCACTGACCTTTGGGGTTCTCTGTCTCACAGTAGTTCTCCCCCAGAGATGCCAGGGGCTCCAGCGCAAAGAGCTCCACGTCCCATTCCATGTCTTCTCCCGAGAAGTTGAAGAGGATCTGTCTGGAGCTCCCCAGGCTGGAAGGGAGGAACGAGGCAGAGGGTTTAAGTTTGGCTTGGCCAGCTGCAGAGAAAAGGGATGCTCTGATTCGCCATTCAAATGGAGAACATTAGATGCTCCCCCAGGGCTGGGCCTTGGGGAGGACAGAGCAGTGTCATCATGGGGGCCATGGATGGACTTCAGCTGGAGCTCAGCCTGGCCTTGAAGGTGAAAGATGGGTGATGAGGACTGGGTCCTGGTTTTGGAATGTTCAGTGCATGGTCCACTATTATAGGAGGAAAATGCTCTTTAGAAAACCCCTGAATCCATCAGAGTTGAGTGGCTCATGTAGAAACAAAGGAAAACAGGTGGGTAAGCCTAGACAGCCCTTTCTGTTATGACAGGTTAGGTCCTGGTGGCATGCCCTGGGTTGGCCAAAGCAAGAGAGCACTTACTGCTCTGAATGAGTAGGTCACAGGAATTTGGAGGTTAGAGACAGTAACTGGTTTTGGGAGAGGAGAATCTAGAGGGAGAGAAGCCAATAGATGGTGGCAAGATGGTGAGGAGTGGCCCAGCCAGCAAGAAGTTCTCCACCTAGCCTGGCTAATGCCTTTCTAAGGCAGGGTGTCTAATTGGTTTGATGTTGTTTCCTCCTGGTACTAAGCCCTCTTCAACTCCAAACTCTCATTAAAAACCTGTGGCACACAGTGTGACAGTGGCACTTGGGGGAAACAGCGAGAGAGGATGACACAAAGCATGAGGACCAAGTGGGCCAGAAAGAAAGGGGGGCAGATGCAGAGCTGAAGCAACAGTTAGGTGTGGTGACAGCAGTGAACCAGGCTAGACTTTGTGGATAGCCCATCAAAAAAAATTTTTTTAAACTAAGACCTCCGTCCCAAAAAATGCCCAAGAATAATTTTTCCATGTAGGATGGGGGCTCAAGGTACCATAAGAACCACCACCAGCATCAGGAGCACATGAGAACATCTTGGTTATACTATTTGGCTGAAGCACTTACTCTTTTTTGCAGGCTTTGGGCTTAAATTTCAAGGTGTTGAATGCTCCTTCCACAGCCTTGGGCAAATAAATGGGGTGCCTCTCGAGTCTCCTCTGAGTGCTGATGGTCCTGCGCTCTGTGCTCCTTCGAAACTGGCCGTCTGTCATGTGCACGGTGGGCGCAGCGATGTCCTCCGAGTGCCGGCGTGGCACCCGCAGGATCCAGTTGGAGTGCAAGCTATGCTCCCGGGAGCTGGTGGCCACTGGAAGAGAGAAGCAGGGACCTGGAAAGGAGATCTTGCCATTGCCATTGCGAGGAGCAGAAGGCAATGGAGAGGGTGAGTCAGGTTGAGAACTCACAACAAATGTCTTTTTGAAAGAACGTCTACCAAAATGTTAACAGTGATTATTATCTCTGGGTGGTGGTGTTACAGGTCGTATTCTTTACTTTCTTCTTTATGTTTTGGTATGTTGTTTGACTATATGATTTACAATGAACATACCTTACTGTTGTTATCAGAAGAAAAGCCATAAAGTCATTTTCATTAAAAAATTATAACTGTGAAGATGACACTTGCATCCACAGTGGATTTTGTTGTCCCTTCACAAACGTCCTGGGTTTCCCCAGGTTCGACTCCCGAGGAGAGGGCTGTTCTTTGTCAGAGACTGAAGGGCTGTGGTGGGGGAGGAGGGCAGGTACCTGCAGGGTACAACGAGCTTTCGAAATGGGAGTAACCTTCTGCGAAATTCCACCGAACCCAATGAGAACCAGAAGGTCACAGATACACGTCTATCAAGGCCAGAACGACAAGCCACCCAAATGTAGTCTTTTGAGAATTAGATAAAACATTCAAGAATCATTTAGTATAGGTACCAAAACCTGTTACCTCAGTAACCAGGAGTCAGTAACCCCCGGATAAAATCATCAATAATTACACAATGGGGAGCAAGTCAAAGATTGGAGAAACTGACAGTTGAGTAATGGAATTTAAAAGTGGGCTCCACTCATGAACAGTGTTGAGTTCTTCGCTCTCCACCAGGAGAAAGCCAGTGATACACCTTGATAAGGAGGAAAGCATCGCCCCCAGCCCTCACTTCACTCCTTCTCTAGCAATCAGGCTGGGCCTGGGGCAGGCACCTGGCCCTCTTCTGCTCTATACATCCTTGCAGAGTGGTGGCCTGTGAAAGCCACAGATGGAGTGCTAGAGGGAGGGGTGACAAAGTGGGTGAAGTGTCAGAGTCAAGTATAGCAGACAGTGCTGCCCCAGGGCGAGGCTCGCTCAGGTAGGGTCAGAAGCTGGATTTTTAAATACAGTTTATTCCTTTTTTTTCTTTTTTAAATTTTGGTAAAATACACATAACATAAAATTTACTATCTTAGCCATCTTTTTGTGTGCAGTTCAGTAGTGGTGAATATATTCACCTTGTTGAGTGACAGATCTCCAGAACATTTTCACCTTGCAAAACTGAAACTCTGTCTCTACATCTGTGTAACAACAACTCCCCATCTAACACCTTTCTTTAATCGTGTCCCTCATGGAGTCTTACAGAAGTCCTACCCTGTCTCAGCTGTGGCAAGTGAACCACAGGGAAGGAGTTTTTGTCCAAATATGGCCCCGAGTGTTGGAGGGGTAGGCTGGGGTGGTGGCAGGAGCTACAACTAAAGCAAGGGCCCCAAGGACAAGAACAAGCTCAGAGCCAGGCTCCGGCTTGTAGACGTGAGTTTCCTTGTAATCAGGAGGTGGCATTCCTGATAGCCCATCTTATAAGTCCACTCCAGAGACCCCCAACCCACCCACCCTCTGCCCTGGGGGACGGCACTCACCATCAAAGTCCACATCTTCATTGGGCTGGTCTGCCTCAGCAGCCTGCGGCCGTTTCTCTGTGTCCAGCTCTGCAATGATGGAGTCAAAGAAGGCAATGGCCTCGGCCACATCTGCGCTGAACTGCGAGTACTTCTTTGTGGCTGTTTTCTGCTAGATGTGAAGGGGAGGAGAGTTGCCTGAGCCAGCCTCAGAGCGCCCTCACACGAATAAGTCATAACCACCAAAAAGGATTAAATGTACTGAAACTAAATGTATGTGAAGTTATAAAGTTGCAGAGTTTAAAAGGTAAATTTGAGTAAGTGCCCTGTGGCAGGCAGATAGATACTCCAGACCCACAATTGCTGTGGGTCAATGGATTTCCAATTACCTCAAGGGGGGAGAGAGAAAGGGTGATAAGAACTGCTTCTTTCTTGGTCAGGGATTGTTGTTGACCATTAGGCAAAATGCTTAGACTTTCTTTGGCTTTGTTCCCCGGCCAAACACCCAATAAGGATTGTACAGTTCTTTAGGCGGGTGATAAGATGCCCACAGCAGGAAAGAAAGGACAAGTACGTTGGAAATGCTCCCTAAGAATTGTCAGTAGCTAAAGTGGCCAAATTTGGGCTCAAGTCATGGAATAAACTCGAGAGAAATTAGTGTGATTGTTTGAAAAATATAAAGAATTATAAAATATAGAGTTACAGAAAATCTACCGAGTGCCTAACTAGGTTCCGGGACTCCATCCTGTCTTGTTCTCCTTCATGACCTCATTCATCATCTTCCTCTTCACAAGGGCCCACAAGTGACTGACATGGAAGTTCAAACACCATGGTGGACTTGGATGGAGAACTCACGATGAAAGGCATAGAGTCAATATGTGGGCTAATAAAAAGCTCTCTGAATTTAGGAAATTTAGGAATTTAGGAAATGAGAGAAGTCAGAGAGAAAACGAAAGGGGGCAATGTGTGTTAACCCGGGCTATTTTGACTGTGCGTGGAGTTCTTTTACTCTATGTGAGCATTTTGAAAGTAGGATGGTATTAAAAAGGAATATGATTAAATTACAGACTGGCATGTTGGGAAATAAAAGGATGACATCTCTATGTATGTGCAAGATTTTGGTGAAATACATGCATTTTGTACTACTAGAAAACATTTTTAAATGAGGGCTTTTTTCCTTTTATATTTGTAAGGAGATTTCTTAGAGAAAATATTGAAGAATGACAACATACACCTGAATCTTTTCTGCGAAAAGTAGAAAACTATCCACGTGTCATCATACCCCTCCCCCTTCAAAGAGCCCGCTAAAATGAAAGCAAGGAGGAGGGAAAGTAAAACCCCAATGACAAAGAGAACAAGAGAGCGGCCATGAGTGAAAGAGAGATTTCCAAAAGCTTCTGGCAGTTGGAAAGCGGTTGAAGAGGGGCCATTGAAGTAACAGAGGGGTAATTGATGTAACAGCGGGGTAATTGACGTAACAGAGCAAAGGACTGACCACCCAGAGCATCGTAAGTGGGGGAAGCAGCCGAGACCCGGGACTATTTGATGCTTGGGAACCAGAAATGCTCCAGACTTGGCAACACCAAGTATGCCACTGACTGGGAACGGGATGCAGGACCGAAAAACCGAGAGGCTGGTTGAAGGTCCATGTGAGCACATCAGGCAGATGACAAGAGGGCTCAGCCCTGGAGACAAGTCCATACTTTTTTATTCTCCCTGCGTTTTCTCTGGCTGGTCCCTCTAGCTTGAACGCCTCATCTGGCTGACTCCTATTCATCCAGTAAGACTTGGCTGAGGCAGCTCCTTCTCCAGGAAGACACCCCTTTCCTGGGTTGTTTCCCTCCTCTAGACTCTGTGGTCCTCCGTAATCTAACCTAATTCCATTAGGACGTTTATATCATTTTAGAGCGTTTTGTTTGTGAAGTGGAAGAGAGAGAAACAAAGAATAGAGAAAGCCTTACAATCTGGAATGAGCCCCAAAGGAAGGATGAATATTATTTAACAAGAATGCAAGATCCATAGGTTTTTGCATCTCAAAACCCATCTCTACACGGAGGGGACGACCCTATCTCTACACGGAGGGGACGACCCCATCTCTACACGGAGGGGATGACCCCATCTCTAGCAGCAACTGCTATCAGTGTTTGGCTTAATGCTAGAGTCTTAGTCTTGCCTGTGGACATCGTCTTTTTTGCCTGGGTCACCCTACAATTTGATCTAGCTATTCACGCCTCCGTGTCTCTGGGAAGCAGGCTTTGGCCCTCAGCTCAGAGCAGCCTGAATGAATCGTTTTCATTTATTAAAGAGTTTAGAAAAGAGTCTACTTCAGTGTCTTAACTATTCAAGCTAAGAAAACAGTGAGTACCCTACCATTAGTTAGGTTAATGCGAATCCTTTATGCTGTGGCCTCTGTGAAGTTCCCGAATCTCCTCACGTATTATCCTCTGAGGATAACACTTACAAAATAAAAAAATAAACCACTAGCATATGCATCACCACCTTAACCACTGAACTCGCGGTCCACAGAAGCTAACGGATCACAGCACTTTCAGCTGCACACTTGTTGGTTAGTCCAAATAGCCAAACATGTTAGTTTCCCAGACTTGAAGCTTGATGATTCAGGATTCAGGTGTCGCTCCCATAACTTTCCCTTTCTACTGTGTTTGGCAGTGACTGCCATCCTGGGCACATGCAGAGACACGGACTGGTACGCTCCCTAGCCGACACTGAGGAATGCCCCCTTCCAGGCCCCACCTCCAGGGTCTCTAGCTGGTCATTCAATACCTTAGTATTATAAAACTTGTTTCTGTTAGGAGAGCTTTTGGATCCTGGTGTGGCTGGAGAGTGAGACATTGGTGACACACTGGTGACATTGTTTGTGGCTGACCCATACATACCTGTGTGACCAAGTCTCATCCCAAAAGAGAGCTTCCCCCGCCAGCTGCTATTACCTTCATCAGTTCCCTCCAAACCCTTCATGCAATGAGGTAGGGACATAAACGTAAACGAATAAACAATCGCTTTCCTTCCATACTTCGCTCTGCCTTCCTTCCCTGCACGTGAAAGCACCGCCCCTTGACGGAGTCTGGGAGCCCAGCTCGGGAGGCAGGGGTGGTCTGCCTCTCCCTCCTCCCCATCGGGGAGATTTTGTGACAGCGCTCCCCAATCCCAGCTGGACGTCAGGATCTCCTGGGCTGCTCTTAGAGAATATTTATACCTGGCCCTTTCTCAGGCCAACTAATTGAGAGAATCAAGTGATTCTAATACACAGCAGTTGAGAACCTCCACTCTACAGGGCCCCGGGCATGAGGGAGGCAGCAAGAGCACCCACAAATCCCCACCTCAGGGTCCGGTTTAGGATGCAAATCCTGAGTGCCAGTCTTACTCCCTGGCTTTGCAAGAACAGACAGGAGCATCTCCATGAAGCCAAGGACACCTGGGACAGAACCCAAGAGGAAGGACTCAGGTCCCTGAAGAAAGAGGATTAGAGCTCCTGAATTTCAGGGCCCAGGCTCCTTGTGTCCTTCCTATGGCTTGGCACACAGAGAGGCCAGGTAAGGGGACTCCATCCATCCTCTGAACCTGCCTCCTCACTAGCCAGAGGGTATGAGAGCATCCCATCCACGGGGGTGCACCCAACATCCGTCTTTCTATCCCAGCCCCCAAACTTGACCTAAATCCCTTCCTGGGAGGCACTCCCTCTGCTTGCATTGATGCAGTTTGGTTTGCTTCCTGGGTTTAATGTTCGGCATTCAACTCTGCTAGACTGCATTCTGGTTAGACACCAAGTTTTTTGTTTATCTCTCTCTCCATCGTTGTTGTATGAAAACATAAGTAAATGTATATTTCTACTTGTATGTACTGACATTTTTAAAAAACAAATGGTAGCATGCAATATCCACCTGTGAACATCACTTTCTTCACTCAGTGTGTCCTCGGATTACTTCCTAGCAGTGACTAGAGATCCTCCTGGTCCCCTGTAATAGCTGCAGAGTCTCCACTGCACAGACACGCTGTGGGAACAAACCACAGGCCCCACTGGCAGATCTTTAGCTTGTTACAGTCTTTTGCTACTACGATTAGTGCTTACATATATGTCATTTTGCATTTTGCCAATAAAACCTTAGTTTGGATTGGCATCCAGTTTTAAGGATTCAGCTTGCCATGAGTATGTTTTGTAGAGAGAATGGTGAACATCAAGTGATCTGGAAAGTCAGTCAAGCAGGATTTGATCAACAGAGCTTCTATTGTACTTTATAAAGTACACTTTTAAATGTCTCCAAAGGAATTTCATGATGATGTTTCTGACTACCTAGGCTAAGCTACGAGACCCTGCTCTCTGGGCCTTTTCAGGTCCTAGTTTAAACCCAGGCTGATTCTAGCTTTTTCTGGCTTCCCACAGCTTCCATGGGCCTGTCTTGTCTCTCCTTGATGTTCTCTGGGTCTCCGGCAGAGACCACTAGCACAAGAGCTGCATCCGCTGAGGCTCAGGGATCCAGGCTCAGGCTAAAGTCACAGAAAAATCTACTTTACAAAGAGGTGGTTGTAGAAAATAGGACGTCAATCATCAGCACCTCTGGGTGAGATCTGAAATAATCTGCCCTCTCTGAATTCTGAACTCCAGGAAAAAGTGGATTGCTTCCCTCCCAGTCTCGACCTTTTTCTAGCCCAGAACTTTTAACTATGTCCTTGGAAAGACTGCATGTAATGCAGCCTGCTTCCTGCACCTGGTCAGGCCTGCGTTTCACAGGGCTCATGTTCTTTTGCCATCAACCTCATAGCAGCCCCAGGGAGAAGGAACTTTCTCTGAAAGCATCTGCATTGTGCTGCCGACTCTGCTCCAGCTTGCCTTTCACATCTGACCTTCAAGGTCTCTAGGGTTATCGTTTTCCGAACCTCCTGTCCCACCTCCTCACACCAGGCCTGGGTCCCAGATTACTTTTCCCGGATGGACCCCTTTGTATTTTTCCAAACCAAACTCCAAGTTCCTGCCTTTTCATCAGCTGCCATCCTGCCTGACTTCACCTGCCCTCTGTTTCCCTGGGCTGTCCCTTCGCCGATCTGTTCGTTTTCTTCCGGATTCTGTCAGTATTTTCCACAAGGAATCTGGAGTCTACAAAATGAACTTCCAGTTGTAAATAGCAATATTTGGTCAGACGTTAGGGTAGG